CCCAAGAACACAACACAATGTCCCCGGCCAGGGCTCGAACCCGGACCGCTCGATCCGGAGACGAGCGCACTAACCATGAGGCCACCGCGCCTCCCACCCACGTCATTTTAGATGAAGCCAAATTTTCTTTTTTGGGCATTTTTAATTTTTGTTTCCACAATTTCCCAAGCAGCATTGTAGAGTTACTACTTTTTTCATGCGATTATCATTTTGGGATTAATCAATTAGCATCATTTCGTTTCTGACTTTCTGAAGAAATGAAATCTAACATGGAGGATCCAATATGGCGCATTTAATGGGGTCATCTGATGTCATAACCTACAAACAAATCTTGTATGTAGGGTAATATGGGAGCTATGTACAAAAGGAAAATAAGTTTGGTATGTCTACAAGAAAATCCATGGGGAGTTTCCAACATGGTACATCTCGGAGTTAAACGCATCCCTGAATGTCACAATTTTCTTATAATTAAAAGTCACTAAGTTAATCTCTTGTCATTCCAAAACCATTCCTCATTGTTAACAGAGGTAAGCTTACCTTTTCCGGGTGCAAAGACTTTTGACGTTGTAATCTCTGACCCGTTGTCCGTGGGCTCAAGATGAGATGCAGGAGCCCAACCTAACTCTCCTTCCCGGTCAACAAGCCACCAGCCTTACAAAGAAAAGAAAGAGAAATGAAAATATTGAAGGGAATAATTATTTTAATTCATGTCAATAACTACATTCTGAGAACCCCAAGCCTGCATTCCTCATGGCTGTTGCTAGGCAACAAGCTAAAGCTTTTGATGCCACAATGAGTTCACAAGGATTAATCACAATTTCTTCAGATCTTCCGCAAAAGTCACTGGTCCTTCAAATCGTACTTATGAACAGGCAACAGACTAATTCTTGTGATACCACTGTGAACTCGGAAGGAACACCCGAGAATAAAATCTCAATTTCTCGAGAGATACTGCGAAAGTTACTTGGTCCTTCAAATCAAACGAGAAATAAATAACTTTTCTTATGTCTCACCGTAGTCGTTCCGTTCAATGACATCAATTATATCGCCAGCTTTGAGAGAAATGTCATTCTTGTTTTTCTTCTGGTAATCAGCTGTCACTACGTATTGTTCAAACATCATTGGTGCCGAGATCTCCACGTTGTTGTCCTCAGCTGCATAGCAAATTTACAAGAAAATAGTTTACATTTTATTGAAAGTAAATTCCAGCAATAATTAGTTGCAAATTATCAAGAATCTATGAGAAAATAAAACTTGTGGAATAGACTTACTCTTTGGTGACTTCCCATCCTTTTTCGTAGCCCTGAGAGTAAACGACAAATTGTTGGCAAATGTTAATGCTCAGAGGCATCTCATCACAACAAATTTATAAAAGGTACGAACTGCACTCTAGACATTTCCCATTTTTCAATGATTCGGGATCTTTTCTTAGGTAGTAGAGATTTGAGAACGAGGGAACGAAGAAACGAAGGAACGAAGGTACGAAGGAACGAAGGAACGGAGAAACGAAGGAACGAAGGAACGGAGAAACGAAGGAACGACTACTCACTTTCCATGAGAATGGACATCACTGGCACGAGACCTGCAGAAGTCCATAACAACTTTGCTTTTTGAGATGTTGTCAGGTGCATTGATTAGTTCCTGAAAACAAAATAAAAAGCTTTAGAGGATCTTAGGCCTTATTAAATTCCTTGGCACTTGTCTCTGCTGAGGCACTTTTTTCACAAATCTGTGGATACACTTCTATTTGGTGACTGGATTAAATTTTGTTTTGACTTACGTGGCAGAATTGATTCATGAACTTCTGTCTCTTGCACGTTCCATCTTTAAAGCAGAGCTGGCAGTTTTCATTGAATTTCCTCCCTAGAAAAATATAAATGAGTAAAAACTTCTTCTGAAAGCTGCATAATGTTAAATGTATTGAGGTAACTTTGTGATGAATTGGAATTGACAAATATTTTGGGATTTAATTTGTTACCTTTAAGCGCAGGGATTTCCTTTCCAATGGCTGTCGGAAATTCCTTTCTGAGGTTTTCCTATACAACAAGACAAACAAGACCAAAGAATAACAAAAGTTTTGTTACCTTTTCACTGGCCTTATTTCGTAACAACTTTTACCAAAGAAGCACTTGCCGGAATGACGATTCAAGTTAGCACGCGTCATAGAGTTACAATGCATGTTGGAAGTTTGGAAACAGGAAACAATCGTGAGAGTTGCTCGACGGGGCACAATGCTCGTTTCTTGAATTGAGTGCTCTACAAACGTCACCAAGTACATGATAACTTGATGATATACATGCAGCTAAAAGCATAAATCAGTTTGTTTGTAACGGCTTTGTTACGTTGTACTTATGTTATAAATAGATATGCGTATAACCAATATTGCAATTTGAGCGTGAGCATTACATAAATGAAAAAAAAAAAAAAAAAAATTTGGTCCCTTAAATATAATATCCTTTATTAAAAACATAGTCCTTCAATGCAAGACCTATGTGCTACCAAGAAAAACCGGCCCAAATTAAATTAAGAAATTAACCTTGGAAGAGTTTTGAACAGATATTTACAATTACCTGAAGAAAGAAAAAATCGCTGCATGTCCTGTAAATTATATTGATATTTCCATCTGACCACACCACTTTGACAATATAAACCTGGAGAAGATTTGAAATTATATATTGGTAACTCTTTATAATTTTTGCTATGAGATAAACATCTTAGTAGAGGTTATGAAAATAACGAATGTTATTTTACAATAATGTCAAATTTTTTCGCGCGCTCATTGACTTATGTTTATTGTCAATAATAGTACAGACACATAGAAGAAGATGAAGATGCGCGGATCTTAAAATTTGCCCAACTTTTTACAGCGTGTTCAGGTTTTAGTTGTTTTTGAACGGCAAATGAACTCAAATCGGAGACAATTTGAAGATAATTTTCTCTTTTGAAAGTATCACCATATTGAAACCAATAGACTCTCGACTACAGCTTTGAGAGTTTCTTAAAACTTTTTATTTTCATTAATGAGAGAAAAGGAACAACAATAACTTTACTTACGTAGTTTTTATCAGGATTCTTCCTCTTTTGTATTCCTTCAACTGTAAGGAACTTGGCTCGTCGGTTCATTTCGGTTGTCATCGTCTGAGCTTGTCTTGCAACGTTTTTATCTGGAGACTGAAAAACAAATGCCAGAGTCTGTCACGTGATGTCCCTAACGCTTCATTGAGCATAAAATTATACTACTGCCTTACATTTCGTGTCAGGCAATGGAGTCAGTCAATTAATGAAAATAATACGTACCTTCTCTTTTCCTTGAGGGGCGAATTTTATCTGGTCAACACCTTGCTCTTTGGGACAGGTTTCCAAATTTTCTTTGATGTGGCAAGACTCTTCCTGACTGTCTGAAACTTGCTGCTGATCTGGCGTCTCTGGAGATGGGGGCCTGGATCTGGCAGGTGCCAGGAAAGCACTTGGTGCCCACCCCTCACAGAAATCATTTTTGACGTACCACCAACCGTTAGACTCTTTCTGTAGCAAGTCAAACTCCTCGCCCTCCTCTAGGGACACCTCGCCGCTTTCCTCTGCTAAATATGACGCAATAACGACATGCGTTTTCCTATTGGGGCTCGCTGTTCCATGGCAATGCGTTACAAGAATTTCGGGTCTGAAGTGTGTCTCCGCCACTTTAGAATACTCAGAATCAATGACTGAATTCTCGTCATGTGCTGAAAGGCTTTCTTCTCTCCCGAGCATCCTTCCTTTCAGTTCCTCAGTTTGCCTGACAAAATCAGCAAGACCGACACCAGCACTGAAAGGCCTCTTCTTCAGACCAGGTCTTTGAGATGCCGTGTTTCGGATGAGAATTTCATCATCCAAGGTGGCTGCTCTCGCTTTACCAGTAATCACTGGAATACTTTTATCAGGCTGTCGTGCATTCAATCTGAGCAATGTTTTGTGATCACTTGTTTCCCCGCTGAGGACAGTCTGGTCCTCCGCAATCCTGTTCGAGTTATGTTTCGCCTTTCTCTTTACTAATGGACTTTGTTCAGGTATATTTCTGAGCGGATCTCGACCTTCAAGAAAAAGAAACAGCAAAACAGACTTTTTATTATGTATGAAGCTGTATGAAGATAACTGGGGACGGGTCAGATTCGAAGTTCAGAAGCATTTCTCGTTGAGAGGAATTACTTCTCCAAGATCACTTTCTATTTACCTCTCCATCCCTCTGGAAGATTAGAGGAAAATACTAGCCTATGACAGCAATAAACTCTCTAAGAAAAAAACTTGCAAAACGTCAACTCTACTAACAGTTGGCATAATAACTGCATTGAAACAACATATTTTTGGCAGATTCTTCACGTGTATTTCTCTTACCACTTAACATTTCAGCTACTTTGTTGACGGTTTTCAATTTCTCATCTTCTGAGGACCTGCGGATGGAATCGATTTTGGTCAGTGGCCGACGGTTTGGATGAATTGAAACTTGTGTAATAATGTACCTCATACTTACCTTTCAATTGTTCCCTTTTTTCTGTTAAGGGCACCGAAAAATTTCAGGACCGCTTCAGATTCTTGCACTGCACTTGGAAGGGCCAACAGCTCCTGTAATTATACAAAGATATTAAATTAAATGCTAAATTAAAAGAGCAGTGCCCCATAAGATCACAATGATATGTTTTTACCAATCGAACCTGACTTGGTTAGAGTACTAGGGTTAATGGCGTAAGAATTTACCTTCATGAAATTATCCATTCTCCCCATTTTTTTCAAATCACTGTCCTTAAAGAGAATGCGGGATAATCCTGGGGTATTTTCTGCAAGGTAAAATCGTCTGATTAGTCAATGAATATCGTCTAAAGTCACCCAGATTTGTTTTTATCCTGTCACTTCCATGTACGTCAAATTTGTGTGTTTATACTAGCATCTTTCACTGCTATGGACGAGACGACAATACTGCGTGACAACTAGCCAGTATGTATGTCGTTTTGTTACGTTTATTACCGTACCCAAATTCGCAACTGATGAGCTAATCAAAAGCCGTGTCCACCACAGGCGGCCCAAGCTCTCAATGTTATCCTTTTTTTTTTT